TTGTTTCTCTAACTACCACTGTCTGCCTTGGCTTGTTGCTGGCACACCTCTTACTCATTAGAGGCAGGCGTCCCAAGATTCTTTCCTCCAGCCTCTCCTCTCTGACATGCACATAGCATTTTCATCACCGCCTTACGCCAGCTCAGACTTCTTGTGCTCAGGTGCTGGGGACGCCCCACCACGCTTTCTGCCACCACTTCCCATTCGGTCCAGCCAAAACCCACAGTCTTCACCTTCCTTAGGAAATACAAAGGGATTTTAAAGCAAATCTACTCGATGAAAAAGAAGTGTGGAGAATTGCTGGGTGCTGGGTAGTTATGCAAAACTAAGAATAATAATTCCTAAAGACATGCCACTTTAAAAAGGGAGTTTCCATTCCCAGTTGGTGCAAAAATATAAAATAGTTCAGATCAATGACAGTTAGCTATGATCACCTGTCAGAGTCCTCGTTTTATTAGGCGAATCACCATCCATCGTCATTTATGAAGTGCCCCCATTCCGGAAGAGCCCCTCAGAGTCTGGGAGGAGGGGAGAGGGAGCACCGAGTCCCAGGCAGCTGTGAGGATGAAGCGTGACCCCCAGCAAGGGGGGCGGGGGGCTCAGTAAGCAGGAACTGTGTGTGTGCGCCAGAAACCAGCTCACTAGGACTTTGCAGCCACACCCGGTGCTTCTGTCCACTGAAGGCAGTTGGATCCTGGCCCGAGGGCCAAGGTCACTGTGGGCCTGCGCTGGGCCGGCTGGCTGGGGGGCTATAGCTTTCTCTGCAGACGGCAGGAGGAGCTGGCTTCCCCATTTGATGCTCCAACCAGTGGCCCAGGTCTTCGCGGGAGAGCCGGCTATGGCATTGCCCGGGGTGTGCGCACCGCTCTCCCAGCGCCCCTGGATGGAAGATGGGGTTCCTGGTCCAGGCTAAGCCCAGGGAGACAGCTAAGGACACTCCCCAAGCCTGTCTGTTGGCTGTTCCCAGTGAGGACCCCTGGCTGGGTGGGTAAGCCCATTGTTTGTAGAAGTAATAGAGAGATGTTTATTCTGCTGTCATCAACATGGCTGGTGATTCCTGTTCATGGAAAACAGATGTTACGGCTGCGATTTAGAAAAATGGTTTCGTGTCAGTTGTCTGACTGATAGGGAGGCCGAGTGTTTCTCTGCCCTCTGCTTTGTGGCTGGAAGGGTTTGTCTCTAAAGCTCTAACACTCAGAACCAAACCACAGCAGGAGGCGAGCTAGTGAGCCTAGCAACAGACCAATACCATGGAGACCAGTAAACCGAGCTTGGGTGTGGCCCCAAATTGGTTCAATGTTTTGGCATTTGCTGGTGAGCTGTGATTCCGATGTTCCTAGGACAAAATTAGACCATTCTAGTTATCTTTTGTTCTTTTCTCGGGAAAGAAATTTAGAACTCGAGTTCCTGAGCATCATCTATGGTCTACCACAGAACTGCGTTTTCACTGCAAGCATTTAACTTTCTTTGAGAGGGCACAGAATATCATAAGCGTGGCAGCTTTAGGGATGCCTGAGACAGGCAGAGCTCCCCCCAGACCTAAGGTACCCTCTCAGGACAGGACTCCTGGGCTGAAACAGTGGCTGTGTGTTTGCAGGTCATGACCCATCTGGCAGCCTGCAAGGGGGCCAAAAATCCAGGGTCCACCTGTTCGAAGTGGCATCCTGACCAGAAGAACGGGAAACCTGAACCGGTATTCTCACCTCACAGCTCTACATAGAGCCCCCACTCCCCACACTGCTCAGATCATGCAGAGGCCCCCTTCCTGCCGATGGGGACCTGGGGCTTGTCTGCTTTCTTCCCACTGATACTCTGAGGGGGTTTTGGTTTATCTTCTTCAAGGTAAAGGGTTTCTGTTGGGTTGTTGGAAAAGTCATGACGTATTTTTGCAACGAAAAGCATAGTAAAAATACGTCATCACTTTTCCGACAACCCAAAATTACTCGGCCAAGTTGCCTTTAGACCTTGAGTCCTGGGAAGGAAAATTTTGTGTACCTCCAGGTTCCCCATTATACAAAATGTCAGTTTTCACAGCCACACCCCTTCCTTTGGTTTCTTAGTGGAGTTTCCAAAAACCAATTGTGTAGGTTCCAGCAGTCGCTCATTAATCACCCTCACAAGTGGCCTTGCAATCAGTTAAAAAAAAACAAAAAAACCCCACAAGGCCTGCCTTAGAAGGGGGCTTCAATGAGGGGCCCTTTTCATCAGAGAGCTAAACAGAAGGCAACTAGACCCTTTACACTTTATCCTTGGGGCCCGGGGACAACAGAACACCAAGAAGCGTGAATTCAGCACTCCGCTTACAGTATGGACTGGACATCGGCCCTACAGCTGGGAATGGCCTGAGACGTGGCCACCTCACAGGACTGGCTGGGCTGAAACCCACGTCAGAATGTCGCAGCCTCCCGTTTGTAGCAGTTTTCTCCAATATGCTACTACTCAGGGGAATAAGAAATCTCTTGTGTGCCTATTATTCTTTTATTGCTGGTATTGTTAGTTTGTTCCTGGGACCAAAACTAGCCGGCTGGTTGCTTCTTACTCCATGACCATGCCACTCGTGCATTTGCAGCAGCTGACCGTCCCGCAGCTTTTGTGGGGTGGGGGAGGCTCTGGATCTGCTCTCCTCACCAGCCGGCCGGCTGTCTCTCCAGGTCACCCCAGGCCTCTCCCCGTTAGCCCATTGTCACCCTGCTTCCTTCCGGCTGAGGAGGAGAGCAGGAAGGCCTGCCACGTGGGTGGGGACTTTCTGAACAGAGGGAAGAGTGGGCTGAGAGGCGGCAAAGTCGAGGCTGGTTTGCGTGTTCATCGGGTCAGCCGGGGGCTCGCCCATGTGCTCAGCGGGTCTGCGATGCGTGCCCTCCGTCTTTCCTACACCTTGGGTACTAGCGTCACTGGCATGTGTCAGATGAGACTCGAGACACGCCGGGCGAAGTCACTTGCTCGTGGTCCCACAGTTAAGTGGGAGAGCCAGGAATTGGACCCAGGGGTTTAGTTCCACAGCCCACTTTCTCAGCCCCTTCCTTGCATGATTTGTTTCATGAAGCTGATAAGTAGTGATTAGACGGTCAGCTGGCATCTTTGGGCCTCAGGGACAGGCAGGTAAATAAGGAGATGTGGTCACAGGGTTTGGGGTGGCAAAAGGCTCTAGAATCTGCCCATCTACAACAGATGGGAATATTCAAACTGAAGTCTCCAGTAAGGCTATTTTATTAACTGGCTATCCTTCTCATCTGCGAAGTTGTTACTACGATTGAAATTATAATCGCTTTCCATGATAAAGTCCCTAAGCCCCATACTTGTTAATGTATTGGGTTGTCAGAAAAGTCATGATGTATTTCTTTCTATGTTTTTCGTTGCAAAAATGCATCATGACTTTTCCAACAACCCAATAGACCAGTTTAAAATTATTTTCTCCAACTCATTTACCTTCACACGATCAAGGATTCAAATACACTAGTACATTTCACTGTTCTAGCAAGAAAACAGGGTGTTAAAAGGTCGGCTTTCAGTCTCGTTGGAAGTTATTTTGGGGACCTCAGGATGCTCTGTCGGAGCTGGCGCTGTGTTCACCTCAAGCCAAGGTGACACCTGCTGAGTTTCTCCCACAGCGGCCACTCGAGGCCTGTACTCGGCCTCGCCCCGTTGTCCCTGCCCTCTCTCAGGTCGGGTCCGCCGGCCCTGCAGCAGCCCCTCCCCTGGGGCGCTGTCCACTGAGGGAAGCTATCGGCAGGTCCTGCGCTCGCCTGTTACCGGGAATAAGGCGAGGGGGGCACAGAGTGGGAAACTGGGGGACTTGAACATCCAAAAGTGAATCTGTGGTCTCTCGAGACTCCTCCGGAGCCACCTTTGCAGGGAATTGGGCCAAGGGATTCTGGTGGAAGTTCTCGTTTGGAGGCGAGGAGGTGGTTTTTCCGAGAAGGGCCTTGGAAAACCTGTCCCCGGGGCGTGGGCCGCTGGAGGTTCCGGGCGCCGCCGGCACCGGGCTTGGGCGGCACAGGCTCACATTCAGGTGAAAAGCGGCGTCGCTTCCTCCCTGTGGCTTCTGCCCCAGCCCGGCGAGGTCGGGACACGTCGTGCCGCTTCGGCGGTGGGACTCGTCCAGAGCAGCGCCGCGCGTCCTGCGGCTGGAGGGGACCCCTCCCCCGGGGTCCCCGCGCCCTCCCCGCGCGGCCCCCGCCCCGCAGCCCTCCGGTCGGACCCTGCGGCCTGGGCTCTGACGGCTGGGTCCGCGAGGACCCGCTTTGCTGACGGCGAGACGCGCGGGAAGCGCCCCCGGCCTCGGATGCTCGGTCGCGCCCCCCTCGGTTGGCCGCTCGGTTTTGTCGCCTTGGGAGCCGGTCCCTTCTCGTGGTGACGCTTTCACGGGGCCCCCCGGCCGGCAGGTGCTGCTGGGTTCGGGCCGAGGCTGCCGAGGCCGCAGACGCGCAGCTTGGTCTGAGTGGAGAGGATTCCGCGGGACGGCAGACGCGGGGGCCCGGCTCCGACCGCGCGGGCGGCGCGCGTGGGGGCGGGGTCTGGGAGGCAGCCCGCCCACCCTG